TGTAGGCCAAAAATCCAGTTTGCAGGATGACTTCCTGTCGAAAAGGCAAAGACAAAAACAAGGTTAGAACTCAGAGAGACAAACACTCAGTTTGACTCTGCTAAACTCAGCTTGGCAATAGTACCCAAAACCCAAAAGACGAGGTAGTGGCAGTCCACCGCTTAAGAGTCCTCAGTAATGAGCACAACCAGCCGCAGGTGTATGAGAGGACCAACGAGAACAGGTTGCCACCTGGTGGTGGAGGGAGAGAACACAAATACAAAAAAAGCCCACACACACTGGATTCCTAACAGAATAAACATTCTGGATGTCTTGATATTAATTTCAGATCTCCATGTTCCTAATATTACTGGTAATCATTTGGATTATTTTAACTATGACATTTTTTTCCAGATATCATAAATACATTTTCAGTCAAGCTGATGAATGTCAAAATGGCCACTTAAAATGTGTAAACATTTCTAGATATATAAAACTTAAGTCTTACTAGTATAATCTTGTTTTGTTTTTTTACTATCCAAAATTCAGTTTCTGCTGCAAAAATGTAATTTAGAAAATATATTACAGTTAGGTCTAGGAGGGTGATTTTGATCATTAAGAATCTTATTTTAGTGATCTACAAGTACAACAACAGAGAGGAGTTCTGTTTCTGAGTTGCTGTTTCTCTGTCTTTAAAACAGTTTCTTCTTTTTTATTTTACTTTTTTGCATTTCTGCATTAAAGTCTCTAGTTCCAGTGGGGTGAAATAGCACTTATAGGACACCAATTGCACTTCCTGTTGCCTGTTGTCATGGTGACTCGTCCAAACGGCGCTCCACTGACAATGCCTTGTAATATTTCTTGCGCACACGCTTAACTCTGAGTGGACCCTGTTAGAATTGATTGAACTAATTGATAGCAGCTGTTTTGAAACCAAACACTCAGTTGCCAACTTTAGACTTGATCAATTTAGACTTGTAGATTTGAATCTGAAATAGTTAAATCTGCTTTATGAAACGGACCATCAGTCCCATCTCACATCCTCTTGTCTTGCCCTTGGCCATTCCTTTTTTGTAGGCACTACTGTTACTCCCCTTTAACATTATTTAAGCTCTTACAGTTAAACCCTGTTTTCTCTGGTTACTGTTTGTTGCCGCCTAGTGCCTCTTTTTTTTTCCCTTCGCTCCTTTGTTGTTGCTTCTGTCCACACCTGCTCCCTATTAACTGATTATTCCACTCATTGTTCTCCCATATATACTCCTCCTTTGTAGTTCCGCATAATGGTTTCTCTTTATTTCTTCTTGTATGTTTCTCCTGAGCCTCTCTAGTTGTTGGTTCCTGATAGGGATGGTGAGATGAAGCCTCATGAGGCATTGAGCCGTTTGGCCAAATTGCTCATCAAGAGAATGTCAAGAGTGTGCAAAGCATTAATCAAAGCAAAGGGTCTCTACTTGAAAAACCTATAATATAACACATATTTTCAGTTGTTTCACACTTATTTGTTAAGTATATAATTCCACGTGTTAATTTATAGTTTCGATGCCTTCAGTGTGAATCTACAATTTTCCTAGTCATGATAATAAAGAAAACTCTTGAAAAAAACTCCCTGCCTGTCAATTGACCAAGATAACACTTTGTTCCTGTAGTGACCAGACACCCTGTTTGCGGTGTGCACTTCTGTGCTCTAGGCGTTTCAGACTCAAAGATCGCTGAGTTGCTGCCTGCTTTCCTGAGCTGCGAGCTGCAGAAATAAACCCCTTCTGTGCTGAAAGTATTGTGCGCAGATCTGCTAAAAGCTGCTTAAGAGCCCAAAAGTTAAGATTCTACAATTCCACCTGTGCAATATTGGACTCACTCTGACTTTCCCTGATTGACTGAGGCAGACATAAGACCCAGAACCACTGCATAGAGGCCAACACGGAAACAGCTGCTCACAACAAAACAAGACCCAAGCCAATCCTCTCCCCTCCTAAGGCGCAGCAACAAGTTAAGGAACTTTATCAATTATTGGGTACCTTGTGTAGGCGAGTAGAAATAATATTTAGATGCTGATTAGTTGCTCCTCCACGTCGAAAGCCAGCTGAGGTGGCTCAGGCATCTGTTCCGGATGCCCTCTGGTCGCCTCCCTCTGGAGGTGTTCCAGGCATGTCCTATTGGGAGGAGGCCTCCTGGAAAGCCCAGGACACGCTGGAGGGACTATGCCTTTGAGCTGTCCTGGTGTCACCTTGGAGTCCCCCGTGAGCAGCTAGAGGAGGTGTGTGTGGATCTGGAAGTCTGGGCATCCCTACTTAGACTTCTGCCGCTGTGCCCCGGCCCTGGATAAGTGGAAGAAAATGGAATGGAATGGGATGCTGATTGGTTTGCTAAAATCATATCCTGAACTATTTTGTTTTTGATGTTACAGGCATCATTCCTCTCTTCCTGAAATGTCTTATTGTATTATATTAATACTGTATATGTGTTTTCTCTTGTTTGTCTCCATGTGCATTCTCCCAGTCCGACTTCAGTTCATTACAGACGCTGCCACTTAAATGTATGTGTGTGTCGGCCATCTTGTGAAAGGAGGCTTATATATACCTGTTTTGGCACGGTCTGTCATCTTGGGATTCCTGGCCTGTGTTTATCATCATGTCCAAATCAAATACCAGGGTTTGCCCAATTGCAGTAGAAATCTGTTGCTATATTCATAAACTGCTGGTAAAATTGCACAACATGACTATTGGGTCATCCATATCGAGGGCTGCTTATAGGGGAAGGAGACAAGAGGTTCAACCCAGTTGTCTTCGTAGAGAGTCCAATGTTTGTTGATGGCTATACTGCCCAAGATGTGTTTGTATTTTTTTGGTGTGGTCTGGTCCTGCTGGAAAATTTTGAGCAGACTAAGAGGTCTTGGAGAAGGTATTTTTCTAAGGCAGAGATGATTCTCCATTTTCTGCTTTCTTGTAGGATATGTTGGAGTTGCTGGAAGACATTTGTATGGCTTTGTGGCTCCATGCAGTGAGGTTGGAGTAGGGCTCTGTGAGGGAAATGCATTCTTTGTTTTGTAGTGTCTTTGTTGGTTTTGGTAGAAGATTTCAGTTTCAGTGTTTTTGATGAGTGTTCTTGGGAACTGACTTCTGCTTTGGGGCTTGAATAGAATTGTGGTGGGTCAGTCCCTGTCTATTGTGTTTTAACAGCTTCTTTGTGGAGGTAGGAGTTGAGATTTTAGGTGTCCTTGAACATGTGTTTTGGTTGGAAACTGGTTCTGTGGAGGAGTGTTTGTGTATTTGTCTATGTTACTTAGGTAATGGTCCCAATTATATTTAGGACAATTTTTGGTATATTTACTAACCTTCTGAGAACCAACATGCCTTATGAGGACTATAGACTGGTTCTAATGTGGTGGCCTCCATCTTTAACTTTGGAGAGTCAGTTTAGAGGTATGGTGTTAATACATCTTAGGTAAGGTTCAAGGTAAGAAATATAATGATAAGGTTAGAGTTGGGTAAATTTCAGTGTCAGGTATTAATGCAGTTACTAAAAAGTATGTATGTCAATGTAAATGCTTAGAAATTTAAACATGTGTCTGAGGGTTTGTAGTAGTTTTCTGTCCAGTTGTCCAGTAGTGTTCAACTCTTTCCTTTAAAAGTGTTTGTATAAAGGAACTTCACTTGTTTTAGGGCATTTGTTTAGCTAGACTTTGATGGAAGGGTGGTGGTTGCATAGGATGGATGGATGGATGGATGGATGGATGGATGGATGGATGGATGGATGGATGGATGGATGGATGGATGGATGGATGGAT